CAGAACAAGGGCGGCACTGCCCGTGGTACCAGCGCCGCTTACTGCGCTGAGCAGAGTGCCAGCTTCTGCGAGAATGTCATGCTCGGAGGCAACCCGATCACCAAGACTTGCGTAAGCTTTTCTCCTCAAAAGATTCCGGTTCGATATGGATAAGTACTTACTCACATTTGAAATCACAGGATGCCGACTGCTGCTCCACTACCACCGGTTGGGGTATTGGCTGCCCCAAATAAGGGCATTCGGGTTGGATTCACTGGAGGATACTAGCATGCTTTTTTGGTCCTTAGATAGATCAGTGAATAAGACAAGTTGACTCTGACTAAGTCTCAAAATCATGACTCTGATGCCCTTGTATCTCAACCTCGAGTTGTTCTCAATCTTCGTACACTACATGAAAGGCAGAGAATCCGGGCTGCTGCATAAAGAGGAACCTACTCGTACCTCGTGACTGAACAAGGCAGGTTACGAAAGCGACCTGAGGAACCATTAGTCATACGGAATACGCACGAATACACACATGCCGCCCAATTGCCTGGCCCAGGCCATAGGACGGAAATCGTCAGAGAAAGGCATGAGCGGCGTCTGAAGTGTACATGACCTAGTGGAGGAAGTATTAACGCGTAATTGGGTCCTGCAAGGGTTGCGAGTTCGAAAGTGGTGGTCCTACATAATGCCACAGACAGCTCATTTTTTTTTTGGCTTTTGGTCTTGGTCAAAACATTTCAGTCACGACCTGTAATGGTAAACTTCATTTACTTGAAGTCACATCACCAGAAAATTTGTCCCTATAGATTGACGGAGTTTGTGACTAAATTGCACTTGTCATTATTGATTTCTCTACCTTGCATGCGCCATCACCTATAGTAGGCAAAATCTTTACCAGGCCTCAACATCCTAATAATACCCAACGCTTTCGAGGCATTCATTCGTTGGTTGCCCACTTTGAACATTAGGCAAAAGGCCAGTACGCCAGTTCGTACACGTATCCGGTCGCCATCTTCGCGTGCTGCAAGACGTGATCGAACGAGACATACTCTATCGTGTCATTCGGACTGTGAATGTACGGGTTATGGTTGCCAAAAGGCGTCTCGAAGATGAACGATGACGGATAGCCATTGCGATTGGCAGACGCGTGGTCGGAGCAGGCATATCCGCAGACGGTCTCCTCGTAAGGGATATCGGTGTACTGAAGATGGCATCATTAGCGCTTGCACATCTTTGAACTCTTATGCCGGAGACAGGCTATAAGATTGTAGAAGTAGCAAATAACTCACAGTGTCAATGACGCGTTTCATGAACGCAACCTGGTCGAGGTCTACCCAGTCCGTAACCACTCCGAACCTCTCGACGCCATCGCGACCGACATAGCCAACCATGTCTTGCTGCAGCATTGCCACGACCTGACGATTGGAGGCGCGGTATTGGGTAAAGATGTCCTGGCTTCCGAGGAGGCCGGCCTCTTCGGCGCCGTACCAGTGAAACTCTAGGGTGTTCAGGATATCGCCAGACGCAATCTTCGGATCGGAGAGGAGGACACGAAGGACCTCGAGAATCATGACGGATCCGGAGCCGTTGTCATCTGGTACAGCGACATTATTAGTCTCTTCTCCGCCATCGATCGTGAAGCATTGACATCGAAAGTTTGGAACTCACCAGCACCAGGCGCACGGCCAGCGCCACGATCTCCAGAAATGACTGAATCAAGATGTCCACCTAAGACAACAGTCCGCTGGTTACGCCCGGGAATCGTAACAATAATACTGGGCTGCGACCACGCGGTATGACGCACGTAGCGGATATTGGCCGTAGGGTGTCCCGCAACATCCAAGACGGCGCTAATCTGGCCATACAGCCACTCTGCAGACTCAACGCCCGTCTTGGAGAGGTAGTACCGGTTGTGGAAGGACGAGAAGCGCTCGAGATGCGCGCGCATGTTGTCCTTGTTCAGCTTTGGAATCAGGGCGTTGACGTGGCATGTCTGATTCATCTGCGTTGGGAAGGGAAGGGCGGCGAGAAGCTTGAAGTCTGCGGAGGAGGTGACGGCGGGGACATCTGACCATTCTGTGATGTCGAAGAAGTGGACGCGTTTCTAGAAGTGTTAGCTGCGCTCGCGGGAGTGAAGAACGGTGGTCACCTACATCCATCATCTCCCATTTCTCCTCCTCTGTGACGGTGACTGTCTGGCCGGGAGCGATTTCCAGCGTGAACAACTTGTTAGGGTCACGAGGCGCGACAAACGAGCCGGCGGCCGAGGAGGCGGCAAGGGCCGCAAGGAGAGGAGTCAGGCGCATGGTGACAGCAAGGCTCCGCAGCTAGTGACGATGGACGATTGAATGAAGTCCTCCTGTAATGGGTCACACTAGGTTGCCTGGGCCCTTATATACTCGTCCCATCTTCCGAGGCGGTGGGTCGATGCATCAAGGAAATGTTAAAGCTCATCTCCTCACCAAGCAGCATATTACAGGGATACCACGATTGCTGACATCTGTACGGAGTAATACTTGAAGCTCGGCAGAGAAGTGACTCCAGTTGAGGGGTAATTGTATCTCAAGCGCAACCGGGGCAATGGTCCCAAGAGCGGCGCAACTCAATCTCATGTATGCCGAGAACTATAACGGGAAGCTGGAAACTTTGGAAAGCTTAGCTCGCATGTTGGCGGTGAGTTGAGCGCCCTAAATGCCAAAGGGAAGCCGACATTGCGAACTTTTGAGTTGGTAGGGCGCAAAAAGTTCCTCGGACCATACGTGAAGGTAGATCTGCAGTTCTGTAGAGCCATTGACCAATTACCGCGGCGGTATCTATCCAAGAACAACGTCTGTGCTGACAAGGCGAGGGGATGTTCACTTGGCTGTCAGCTCGTCCGAACTTCCAGGACGGTATCGGTTTTCCTCCATCATCTCTGTCGCGGCTCATGCAGCTCGAGACATACTGCGTTGTTTCCTTGTCAGGCATGGTGGATGTAAAGCCGAGAGTTCCGACGGAGAGAGATAATTTCTTGGAAGATGTAAAAACATTATTTGAGTGTCATCTCGAATGCGCCGAGTCGATGATGCGCCAAGAACATCTCTATTCGGAAGGTGACTTTTAGCCAAGACGTTGCGCGGGGACTTGCAACTGAGGGGTTGGAAACAAAAGTCAGCCAGGCTTTGTTTGACTTGCGGAAACAAACATCCTAGCACGCCAAGAGTCGCGTAGGATGATCATAGAAAACCAAAGCCCTGTGCGCGATCCGCGGGGATGGAGAATTTTCGAGATTTTGATGATGTTTGAGGGTTGTGTGGACAAGTATGGGAGGGCGGGGCCTTGAGGACTATGTCAACTCGTCCTTTGGAACCCCAAGACGGTTGATGACATTAGAGTACCGCTTCGCGACAGGATGTTCACGAGAAACCCAACAAAGGTTGTCTCTCAAATGGCCCCCATCCCTCATCCATGCCTTCGCGTAGGGCAATCACCAGCAGAAAACCTCGAACACACGCAGCAAGAGCATCATTGACCACAGTCCATCCAATCAATCGATACCACTCGACCCAAGACGGCGAGTACGGCGGGTACTTGACGCGAAAAACCCAGGATATCGCCACGAGAGTAAAGGTGATGCATTGGAAAGCGAGACCAGGAAGACTAAGGGCGCCTGCGTCGCCACCTTCGGAGCGAATCTCGTGTACTTGTGGAACTGCGGCGACGATGATGAATGCGGTGGATAATGGAATGAGGAGGACGTAATGGAGTAAAGCGAAGATATCCTGGGCCCATCGACGGGGTTCGGATCGGGATGATGGCAGGCTGGCGTCTATGAGGACTGGGATGATGCTGAAGAAAAGAAAGACGACGAAGGTTGTGATGGCGGCTCCTCTTTGGATTCTTCTTTCGTGGCTTTGAGACGTATTTCGAATAGGCAGAGTGAACCTGGGAGGAGAGGAGTAAGCCCGAGCTCATTGACAGCTTACAATCGCTTTTCAATCTTCAGGATCCTCACAAGTAAACAGAACAAAGCCAGACAATCATCAGCTGGCCGAGATTGAGCCAGTCGCCCACTGTGGCTGGGGTATTGACAAAGGCGTCGGGCCGAAGAGATGCGCCATTGTTGACGTTGAGAAAGAGACCGATGGTGAGCTGTTCTGTGGCGCTCAGGAGGTTGAAGAGCACGTAGTAGAGTGAAAGGCCGTTGCAGTGGCCTTGTTCGCGGAGTCGGTGGTATTGTGGTATAAATGAGATGAGACTTAGGATGCTAAGGGCTCTGATTGACTTTAGTCAGTAAATTGCAGAGAAGGGGATGCCAATTCCTAATCATCTGTAGGTAGTCCCCTTTTCATATCCCGGTAGCTTGTTGTTGTCATCATCCACAAGATCACAATCAACCGGGAGACGACTGATGGGGAGCTTGGGAAAGAGGGTAGCAGTAGCATATGGATAAAACTCAGTGGAAGGTCACTCACACTCTGGCAAAGTTAGGGAAGATATCAGGAGCCATCGTGAACATAGCGACAACGGAATCGCGACGCCGATATTTTGGCAATGACTCAAGAATGGTCGCCAACGTGAGGCAAATGAGGACCAATGTTCTCTGCTAGACGGGATGCGAAAACCCTCAAGGCATGACCAGTGAAAGTTGCGGTCAGTTGGCTGTTGTATGTTGCCATCGAGTGACCCTGTAGGATTTAGGCATCCCATCACGTGGGCTGTCAAGCCACGACAATTTGATTGAGTGAGAAAGTTCCGAAGGGTCCACACCTGCAACATCTCAAGCAAAGCAGTTAGCACGGAAGATGTCTGAAGTAACTCGCGGGAAGTCAATGGATTATTAGGGCTATCTCCTATCTCATCTATCGGAACTCCATGTATTATGGCATAGAGCCGCATTTCCTGATTCATTAATCCGTTTGATCATCTTACGCAGATCCTAGGCCAATAGCACGGCCAACCAAGAGCAAACAGAGCCAGGCCAATTTTCGACCATATGCAATTCTCATTCATTAGGTACCGTCGACCTACAGCTTTTAGAAGATGTAGAATTTTGCCATAGACTTCTCGCCAAACTGCCAAGAGAAGTCGCAGTCCTCTCCGCCCCAGAGACGCATTCTGGTCTGGCTGGGGTCGTACAGCTTGAAGGCCTTGGTGAAGAGTATGTCGAGGTCCATGTTACCGACGGTGGTATTCTGGCCCCAAGGCAACCAAGCTATACGGCAGGTGCCAACTTGGGCAAGGAGGGTGGCATGGATGCTTCGGAACTCGTCTCTGCTGAATTGGAAGCGGAAGCGGCGGATAGACATGAAATTACGGAGCTTCACACAGTCGGCGATGAGGGGCGAGTCGGGCTTGGCGCCGCCCCAGAACGTGATCTGCCCGTTGCATCGCTTGGAAGGGCCGAGGGGCGTGTCGTGTCTCTCCAGTCTGGCGCCAAGTGCCTTGCTGTCAGCGAGGTGAGTGCCGAGGAGGTTCTCGTTGAGCTGGGCTGTGATATTGACGCCGTTGCTGTCGGTGACGGTATAATCGACCCAGTTCAGCGAGTCATCCGTGTTGCTGAGGATCATGGCCATTTCTGCTGTGGCGGCCATGTCTTCGGGAGAGCCAGACTTGACCATCATTGCACCTTTCTCCGCGATCTCTGGGACGTCAATGGCAGAGATGAGGTCCCGCTTGCCTTCCTCGTAGCCCCTGGGGATGTGGCCCTTAGGAGCATTGACGTCTCTGTAGATGAGCTGGAACTCGCTCATGTGCTTCAAGTGAGTCTCTTTCGCAAAGCCACACATAGCGCCCATCTTACCAACGGTGTAGTCAGATCCGGATTGAGCTCCGTCCCAAAGAAGCATACGCTCAAGGAAGCTCGCGATGTCGAAGCCGGTGATCGTGATGTTATCGGTGGTCAGGGGACGCAAGCCGACGGCACAAGTATCGTGGGCGGTGATCGGGACCAGTTCGTAGTATTGGTCGCCAAACACTGCTACCTTGGCTGTGTTGGACTTGAGGAAGTCGAGAAGCTTCCCACAGTCCCTTCTGAGGGGGCGACCAGACTCTTGCCAGTCCGCGGAAAGCCACATGGCATCGCAGTAGGGACCTTCCTTTGGACCACCGAGTGTCAAGTCGAATTGGGGTTCGTCGTCCTTCTTGGAGGGGATATCGATGTCGGTGGTAGTGACAGTGTGGGCATTCCCACGACCGGAAAGGAAGGCGAAGGTGTTTCTGGGGATGTCGTCGAAAGACTGGACAATAAGAGGCGCCTCACGCTTGGAGTCGCGAGTGTTGAGGGTGGTGCTGTTGTTGTTCGAGATGAAGGCCGGTTCATCGAGAGGGCCGCGCTGTTGGAGTCTCCAGTAGACAGGAGCAAAGCCCAAATCGCCTTCATAGACAGTGCAATCAGCCTCACCAGAAGCAGACATGCGGCCCTTATCGGTCCAGGCCTTGCGGCTCAGAGATATGTCGAGGAAGTTGGCCATGTCGCCGCTTGTAAAGACGACGTTCTTGTGGACGGTGCGAGTGCGGTAGGCGCAGGAACCTACAAAGGCGACCTCGGCCCAGCGGTTGAGGTCGATCTTGTTGTCGAAGTAGAAGAAGACGGGGTGGCTGTGAGAGAAATCGTAGAGGGCCTGGCAATCATCGCGACGAGGAGTGCCTTTGTTGTCATTATCTTTCTGACTGCCGCGGACGGTGCAAAGCTCCATAAGCTTAGGCGCCGTCTTGATCTTGAAATGCTTGCCAATATCATCGGGGAGCTTCGAGACGTCGTCAGTCATGAACACGCCAGGAGCGACGTGAATCACGACATCAGAGCCGTTGGCTGCCTTGAAAGCGATGGTGCTGTACTCCGCGACAGGAGCAGGAACTTCAGCGCGGGTCTGCTCGAGCATAATGTGCTCGGAAGCAGTATGCTCGGGGACGGCGCGCGCGAGAGCCACCGCCGCAAAGGCAAGGACTGGCGCGAGAATAATTCGCATCGTGAGACTGGGGACGCGAGACCGTGTCTCTGGTCTGGATATTGTACTTTTGCTTTGCGCAGGGAGATTTGGAGGAAGCCAAGTCGCACAGTGATTAATGATTGGGATTTTAGGAAAGGGAGAGAAAGAGAGGGCCAGATGAGGAGTCGATGAGGGAGGAAGAGTGAGAAGTGAGGAGGAAATCTTCGTCCAAGGAGGCACTGACGGTGAAGTGCTTCTTTGTTCTGGTTTGTAGGGAGAGGAAAATAGAAACAGGGCTGCGTGGTGGGAGACTGAAGAAAGATACTCGCCTTGCCAGGCGGCTAAGAGGGAGATCACGGGACTGACTTGCTTCTATTTCCTTTTTGGGCAACTAAAGCGGTGAGAGAGCGGTGAACGTAAAGATTTTCAGATGAATATACGTCTACATCGAGGGAGGGAGGAGCCGCCGGCCTTGGAGGGTAGGTAAGTCGTGCCTTCCCGAAGTCGTTATTGCGGATCACCTAGTTTGCCCTATAAGGAGTCTAAGGTGAAGTGAGGTGTAGAGCGGTGAGATCACGGTATACAAATTACGTTGGTAAACCACTTCACGCTTGATATGCCGCATATGAGACTAGAAGCTAAATTGTAAACACAAGAATCTTGACTTTCGAGTCTTGATTTACCCACCTGAGGAGATCGTGCCTCGAGAAGCCCGATACGGGCCACCTGACGAGAAGGCCATGGCCAGAATTTGTGGAACTTCGCAATGTCATGGCGAGAGAAAGGAAACATCCAAGCGGAACAATCCCTTGCAGGCACTGAGAGACGGCGTGGTCACACAGACTAGGGTGCCTCAAGGTTGAGTACTTTACAGCTTTGATTGTTTATGCGTCAGAATGGGTGACTTGACTTCTTCGCTGCCAGAGAGCTGCACAAGTTGCTTTTGAGTTTGAGAACAATGATCTTACCCGTAGCGTCTTTCTTACTTGAACAGCGGTTTGGTCGTACAAGCTAAAGTATCATTCATGCAAGGACAACTAGCAAACCCCTCTGACGTCTACAAACTCATTGAATGCGATTTACAAATTGCGGGGTAATATTGTCGCTGCAGTGGTATGTTTGGTCTTTTCTATCTGAGCTGTCTAATGAAATGATGATTGCCTGTTGTAAGACCGGGAGTGTCATATAGAGTTGACGAGAACCGAAGCTTCAATGCTGCTAAGCACGAAAACTCTAGTTGGAGTTGGGAGCCTCTAAGCTGACAGAATCAACTTTATGTCAACCTCCTTCATTCATCATTTCCTACTTGGCAATCATATTCTCTCATCGTGTCCCGAATTGGATAGGAGAAGATACCGCGCAAATGGGCAGATCATTCCAGGGATACTGAAACGAACGAGGTCACAATTGACCAGCAGTTCGCAAGTTTCGATTCAGTCAGTAGTAAAAACCAGCTTCTCTAATTTGTTTTGAGATTGCCTCACTCTCGCTCTCACTGCTCGGCGCCTTCTCAATTCTCGTATAACATCAAAACTTACAGTCTGGGAATCGCGCATCGCCAAATTCACTCTGTCAAACCTTTGCAAACGAGCATGCCCGCCTTGGTTAATGGAAGCGTGCCTTGGAGTATAATAGTCAAGCGCTCCTGATATTAGGCAAGTAACGGTTTTGATGTGAGTAAATCGGGGAAGTAGAAAATACCAACTTAAACAAAGAACTTCTCTGATGAGACCTTTTCAACAACCAAGCTACAGCCTGCTTAGGTGAGGTAAGTGAAATGATACGTTCCCGGTTGTCTGCTCTGCAGTTACTTTATGGAATGCTAAGGCTTTTCCATAGATAAGAAACACGGTTGAGACAAATTTAATCGCATGCATTGCTGAATAAACTACGAGATGTTCGATTTCGAGACCGGATGCAATCGACATATGCTCGAGCACGATGATCCACTTCTGCTCCTCATGTGCACCAGCAATTCTCGAGTTGGAGCATGTTCGAAATACCCCTCAAAGATGTCAATCTAAGAGACCGTGGTCATCTATATGACAAACAACTGAGACCTCAATTGCAGAATTTTTGGCTTTCTTGTAGACGCTTTGTGTAAGATGCGGCTAATACGTAGTGCGCATTTAGCTGCCGCTGGCTCCTTGGACCTTCCCTCATATGAGCACAGCCACACAAAGGCTCAACTACAGTCTAGCAGTGGGATGCCGTAAACACAAATGATAGCTGTCATTGGAATTGAGAGTCTTAGTCAATCGTGCCAGATCGGGATATTCCAAGCAAAGCACCCAAGCCCCCCAAAAAAAAATCGGCTATCTATCCGGAAGTGGCACACTTTGGCTCTCATTGAATCATACCGTAGCTCATGTTCCCGCTGTATGATTGCCAACGTACGTCTGTTATGCATGTCAAACCTCTGAGTAAATTGGTTAGATATCGTTGTTAATGGAGCGGATCGCCGGAACCGGAACCTTGGACCGGGGGGCTGGGAATGTTTCCCGTCCGTTATCAAACGAGTCCGAGGAACCCCCCGCCAGCCGACGAGTCATTTTCACGCCTTTGTGCCCCGTCGGGCCCCGCAGAAACATGTCAACCCCATAAAATGATCCGGGGCCGCCATGCAATGCTGCAATAAACCGCAGCAATAAGCATGAACTAGCCAATTCCCCGGGTTGGGGTCTGTTGCTATGCCGTAATCTTATTCTGCCTAGACTAGTTGATCTACTCTAGCTATCAAGATAAGTATCAGATAAGACCTTTCCTCGACCATTCACATCCCAACACCAGCTGACAAACATTGAATACGGGGAGACTCGAGAACCCACACACCGAAGCGGCCCAAGATGGAGACCATCCCCCGGGACTTAACCACTAGGTCGGTATGGCTCTGCCGACGACGGCACTGGTCACTTTTTTGCCGAGCTGATAAGAGAAAACCCGAGAGCACGGAACCAGCGTTCGCCTGCCTTAGCCTCGAGCGCATTCGGAGCCCAAACCCACGTGTGATAGGACCCAAGCCGTCGAGATAAGGTCGATGATGATTCTCTGGGCAGAGTATTGGTCAATTGAAGCATCTTCCATGGTTTCTAGCGTTGAAATGGAAGGGCCGGGCGAGTGATTTTTCCCACAAGCCGGATATTGACACCGGAATCCATGGGAATTCGAATTGTTTCTTATCGCCTTGGCTACAGTCATGTATTCTCGCGATAAGTAGTATTCACTGCATGAACCGCTATATAAGAACCAGTAAGCAAACCGCCAAGTTTCGTTATTTGACCAGCCAGCAGAGCAGTTCAGAGCATCTCCCTCTCCTCATAGCCCCCATTGTCCTCTAGGTAGGAAGCCACTCGCAACTTCGGTGACTTTCCATAAGCACGACAATCAGCCAAGATGCAAACTCGCAACCTCCTCCTCGCCGCCTCTCAGCTGGCTCTCGGCCTCGCGGCCCCGGCCCCGCTCCCGGCATACAACCTTCTCTCTACCCGCGAGACGCACTACAACGCCAGCCTGCCCAACATCACAATCTTCGCCACGGGCGGCACCATCGCAGGCTCAGCCTCCTCAAATGCCCAGACCACAGGCTACCAAGCCGGTGCACTCGGCGTCGACATCCTCATCGCGGCCGTCCCGGAGCTGTGGAACGTCTCCAACGTCAAGGGCGTGCAGGTCGCCAACGTGGACTCAGGCAGCATCACCCCTGGCATCCTCCTCAACCTCACCCGCCTCGTGCAGGAGGCCCTCGATGATCCCTACTGCCAGGGCGCCGTCATCACTCACGGCACCGACACCATGGAGGAGTCTGCCTTCTTCCTCGATGCCACCATCAAGAGCGAGAAGCCCGTCGTTGTCGTCGGCGCGATGAGGCCCGCCACCGCCATCAGCGCCGACGGCCCCATCAACCTCCTCGAGGCCGTCACCCTCGCCGGCAGCCCCGCCGCCGCAGGCCGCGGTACCATGATCGTCCTTAACGACCGCATCGGCAGCGCCTACTACACCACAAAGACCCACTCCAACTCCCTCGACACCTTCAAGGCCGTCGAGCAGGGCTACCTCGGCTTCTTCCTCGACATCAAGCCCGTCTTCTACTACCCTCCCGTCCTGCCCCTCGGCCGCGCCTACTTCAACGTCACCGAGGCCTCCGCGCTTCCCGAGGTTGACATCCTCTTCGGCCACCAAGCTCTCAACCCTGCCCTCGCCACCGCCGCCGTCGCCAGCGGTGCCAAGGGTCTCGTTCTCGCTGGTATGGGTGCTGGTGGGTGGACTACGCCTGGCCGTAACGCGCTCAAGACGCTGGCGCAGGAGAACGGCACTCAGATTGTTGTTTCCAGCAGAACCATGGGTGGATTTGTCGAGGACGACGATGCCCTTAACACGTATGGTGGCTGGAACTTGAACCCCCAGAAGTCGCGCATCCTGTTGCAGCTTGCGCTTTACTCTGGCTACAGCTCCTCGCAGCTCGAGACGCTGTTCAAGTTCGCGCCTTAGATGGCATGAGACATGACATTGAATTATGAGATTATGATGCATAGATATAATAATAGAGAAATAGTAATTTTTATCATTACACCTGGTCAATTGTCGTTGTGTATGAACTTTTCTTCCGACTTCTCTCGACTTGCCAGATGCATTGAGCATATCCTTCCCGGTAACGCCGGGCGACTTTGTGATGCCAACAACCATGTTCGTCTTCTCTATTTCGAGTTCCGGAGGACTTCAGGTGCATTGCCGAGGTACTGCTTCGATCACCATCAAATCCAGTCAAAGATGAGATCTGCTCATGTAATCTCAGCTTCCAGTGCTGTTGCAAAAGTGCCAAGGCAGCCCCCGCCGCCGGACAGGGATCATATGTCCTTCTTCAAAGAGCTCTTCTCCAACTCAGCAACCTTAGCAAAGACCCGCTTTGTCTCCGCGCAGCTCTTGATAATGAGATAGAAGGGAATAATGATCCAAAAGGCATTGAAGAAGACGTAGTAACACCAAAAGTAAAAGTCTTCAGGTCGGCAGTAAATCATCTTGGCAACGAGCTTGTCGAACGA